CACACACAAACGAAAGATGAACTAGAACAGCAATCTGCACAATTTCTTGGTTTTAGTTTGTTTGTCGTGCAAATTAACATGTGTTGTCAGTTCTTATCTCTGTTTTGCTGAGACGAAGAGCTGCTAGCTGCGAAAGGCAAGAGAAGATAGTCCTCTGAATTTAATCTCAACTTTTGTGGCCAGGTCAGCATGGTACTTCTTATGCTTGATGAAATCATAGTAGTATGTTAAGCCAAATTCACAACAACGGCAGAGGCTTAAAATTCTTAAGAAAACTCTGTAGTCTATAACTGAGTTGCTTGATCTTACATTTTTTATCATGTATTCATGATTCTTCTTATGGATTTGGTTATTCATTATTCAAACAAAGCAGTCTTGGAGCGGTATAGTTGTGTTTGAGTATTGAAAGTGAACGTTGATGTGCATGTCTATACTACTGGCTGCAGAAACTATTGATTTTAGATTAGTCTTAACTGTACAAGAACGATAATCTGAAGGATTCCTTGCTTGGGACTTCCAAAAAACTGTCAAACAGGCAAGAAATTCGTTCGAACCCAAAATGCGCCAACATCTACAAAAACTTTCGCCGGAAATTTATCTACCCTGCATCATCTCATTCGAAACCGTCCCATGGATTAACGTGGCCTATGCACTCGCTCACGTTTGTGCCCTTATTCTGATCCCTGTTTGCACTAACAAAAATAACTGCCAGAACTCCAGAAAAGGGTCTGAATTCAGCTCCCATCACCAACGTCTTCCAGCCTCCGGCCGACGGCGTAGCGATCCTCCTTGATAGAATCATGGAGCATGACACAGATACCCTTGGCCAGCCAGCAGAGCGCGCAGACGCCGAGCCCGCCCGACCACGCAAAGCGGTAGACCGTCAAGTTCACGGCGGCGGGGTAGCCCAGCCCCGGGAAGACGCCCCTGGCGAGCACGTAGGGGACACCCAGGGCGGCGAGCAGCGTAGCAACGACGGGCACGCACACGTCCTGAAAGAACCACCACATCGGCCCGAGTCCCGCGGAGAGATCCTCCTTCGCCCGGTCAAGTTTCGCCTTCCACCTTTTGTCCACCAAGCACTTGATCCATAATTGCTTAAAGATCCTCCCCAGGAGCCAAGTGCGGAAAAAGCTTGTGGCTGGGAATTCATCGTCACGCGCGATGAAGAAGGGCGATATCAGTGATAGCTCAACCAGCAAACCGGTCAGGAGCGGAACGACGACGCTCTAGCAGCAGCAGAGACACAGTCAAGTTACTCAATCGTAGTGTAAAAATAGAACAATGTGTAAATGAATAGCTTAAATTCCTCACCCATATGCAGAGAAGCAGGTGCCTCTGCAAAGCTAGAAGGCATGTCTCCCCCGAAATCAGGCGGGCAGATAAATCTCTACAGGCAGCAATAATGGTCGATATGATGCAGAGTCCAACTGCAACAGCAAACAGATCTACAAGAAGCGAGATTTGAACGAGTAAGCACAGACAAGAATATAAGAATAATTACTTCCATTGCAAGAAGGAAGTCCGACGATCGTCTCTGAACTGTCGCTCACCGTTGGACTTCAGTCCATCTGCTACTAGCAGCTGAGGGGTGGCAAACAGCAATGCACGCCCAACTGAGACTGGAAGCAAAAGCACGGCAGAATTGAATATCACAGCAGCCAACCATGCTAGGACCGCTTGCGACACTGTTCGAACAGCAGCAAGTCTCCTGGTGCATTGTGCAAGAGGGTAAGTATATATCTGCGCAGAGTTGCACGACCAACGGCTCCAGATTTTTGCACAGAACTTTGATTGATTGATTGATTGGTAAAACAATAAATGAACAGACAAGTGTAGCAATTAAACAGAGATTAAGGAAAAGTGAAACATTGCTTCTTTTCAGAGTTCGGAATAAAAAATTGGAAGACCAATGATGCAACAAAGGTAAGCATTATTTGCTTCTCAAAGAGCCCTTTTCACATGATCCATAGCGCCCTTACAAAAGCCACGTCAGACAGAAACTTACTTGGATCTCAGTATCTCACTTGATTCACTTATACAAGTTTGAGGATCCAAATATGCAATCTTATACTTCTGAAACATATAGCCTACTCGAACCACACTCCATGTTATACCTATGGACTAACATAAGCACCAAATTTTCAGAATGCCAAGGTGTCATCGCTTAATAAACTGACAGTGAGCAGAGACCCAAATTGCAAGTTTTCCATATGGTAAATGTTTACTAAGATAATAAAAAAATTATGCACTATCATAGGCATCAGATTGTCAGAATGGCAAGGTATTGTTGCTTGACACTGAGCAGAGATCCAACGTAGATGATAATTCCCTGTGAAAGAGATGGACTGCCCCCTTCAACAGACAGGAGCAAAGAGAGCACATGCCAAAACTACTGTCTATCAACCAGAACGGAAGTACCCCAAACAAACAGTGAACAGCGAAACAAAATGCAAGTAAAAAGATGGATCAAATTTTAGTTGAATGTAGATTCAGTCAGGCTAAAAAGGGTGAAGTTAGTGCAGACTCTGCAGTTCCTGAATGAATGGAAGTGTGGGTGTTTACCAGTCGTCCTTAGCATCATCGCTGCTACCATACTGGTCTTTTGGCGCAACATTGTTCCCAAGAGGCTGTCCAGTAGTAACAAACCAATACCCCATTACCCTCTCCACTAGGGGCTCAAGGTATACAACTACTTTACCAATGAGATACCTCATATGAATAACACCAGAAAGTGACTCTGTAAAGTTTAGTGGCCCTTGCCAAACTGATGTGCCCTTAGCAGGATGATCGAAGTATCTACGATTCACAAATAATAAAATTAATATTTTGAGTGACTAGACCGGCAAATACATAAGATGGAGAACACAAAGTGAATACTTACGGGATTTCTAGAGGGAACACCGATGGTGCCAATAGATCAACAATTTTGATAGGAACAGAAATGACCAGAGCAATAAAGATAGTGTCGATAAAAAGATCAACAAGCCACTTCAGATAAAATGTGTAGAATAGTTCGGAAACATTACGGTCGAGAAAGGGAGTGGCCACTCCTGACCCCAATATCTACTAAAAGAAACACATCAATTCTATTCTGCATCACTAATGACATGATGAGATCATATATAAGTATAATAAATACCTTGTGAAGAAATCGGGATATTCTGCGACGTAGATTCAAAAAGGAGAATCCCATAAGCCAATGAAGGGCAGCAGAAGCAAAAGATGAAGCAATCAGGAATTTGAACCTCTGAGACATTGTTGCACCAAACAATTTGGAAGTGCAGATACCAAGCGACCAGCCGAAGAACAACGGGAACACTATCACATTGTTTAGGATATTAAGAGAAACATTTGCAACAGTGGTTGAATTTACGATCCCTCTGAAGAATATAGGATGCAGACTTCTATAGAAAATTGCAATCACAAGGCGCTTGCCCCTCAAGTAGAGATAAAACGTATGCAACCCAGCAAGAGTTGCACCCACCTTAAAGATAAATCCATATCCAATTAGAAGGGTAGAAGCCGTTGAAGTGTAACAATTGATTTCATCCACATTGCCAACATTGAGACATGATCTTGACCATAGGATTATCCTTCCCAGAGAGAATGGGAGAAAACAAAGAATACAAGCAAGGGCCATGTCAACTATTAACACCTGCTACACAAGTATACTGTTAGATCATTATAGAAACAAACAGGCAGAAGAAATTTGAGGCACTTTTCTCCAGAAAGACACAACTAAGCTACAAGCCTACAACCTTGTAGATAGACAAGGGTCAAATTAACTTAAGGTAATAAATACTCCCTCCATTCCAAAAATAAGTGCCGTGGTTTTAGTTCAAACACTTCTTTTGGAATGAGGGAGTATATACTAAATTAGCATAGCAACTAAAGCACCAAAAGGACAAGCTAAGACTGTTTTAGCGGTGCACTTGAAATAATAACCGGAAGAAATCCAACATCTATATTCAGTAGTAGTCCTCCAACTAGTATATCTATCCTGAGTTCCTGACCAACAGACAGAGGCGCAATTGCAAGGTAGGAAAAGAATCAAAGAGTTGAACATTGTCATATTATATTATAGAACAACTCGTACTAGACAAACATTTAAGTCTTGCTGCTATTTCTTGCAATATTCTGGACACATCCAAGATGGTACACTTTTAACTAGAGCCATATTATGCCGTGACCAACTGTAAATACACAATCAGGACAAAGACATTGGCAAGATTAGCTAAATTCTCAGGACAGAACTGCATTAACAGATGCTTTACTACGGTATTGGAAGCTACAATAATCTAATCAACCACAGAATCCCCATAGCATCAGAAGTTTAGAACAAATAAACAAATATAAGTAGCGGACATAGGATATTGGTTGAGAAAGCAATAATCATACCACCAAGGAAACTTCAACAGCAAATATCGAAAGGACTTGCAATGCCTCATATAACCCAGGCTCCTGACTCTGAATCTGAGCTACCAGGCGCGCAACCCAGCACGCAAATGGAGCTACAGAAAATGGCGCAACCAAGCGTGCAAGCTCCACGCAGAGCGCAACTGAAGCAGGGATGCAGGTCCATGAGGCCACGGATAGGCGCAGGGAGAGCAGATGGTGCGCTCGGGCAAAGTCGGTGGCGAGTGCGAGGCGCCATGCCCAGCAGGTGGTCAGCGGAACGACAAACTCCCAGACAACGCAGATGGCGAAGAAGAGGGGGAGCAGCAGCCCGATGAGCTTGCTGGGCAGACCCGCCATGAGCTCGGAAACGGGCAGCCTCTCGGGGGCGTCCGCGGCGTAGAGAGGCCGGATGGAGATGCGGCGTCTGCACACCTGCGATTATACAAAGAATGGCCGTGCGCGTCAGCGTCGCATCACATCGAAATGGAGCTGGAAACTGGAAAAGGAATTCAGCACTACCACAATCCACAACAACAATATGACAGGAACGTATTACTACATTGCAGAGAGGGATATTTTCATCGGGGAATCATGGAGATTGGCAATGCAGCATCACATAAACACAGCATCTAGTGGTAATTTTTGCTACTGAAATCTAGGCTAATCAGGATGAATCTAAACGAGATTGGAAAAAGAGAGATAATGAATTAAGCGCGCGTATACCACTTACCACACCAACAATATGAAACGGAAACCCTACCGGGAAGGGGGTGGGGGTGGGGAGGGGAGAGACGATACCTCGCAGCGGGGGAGTTTGCGGCGGCGGGCGATCCATTGGAGCTGGCAGTCGTCGTGGACGAACCTCATGCTGCCGCGGCAGCCGCAGGGGCGGCGCAGGGGCCGGTCCGCGTCGGCGGGGAGGCGGCAGATGCGGCACTCCTCCTCGTCTTCGTCCTCGTACCCGGGTCCGACCGCTGGTAGGAGCGCCGTCTCCGGCGAAGGGGTGGCGGCCGCGGCCATTAGCTTTCCTTCGGGAAGCTTCTGTGTAGGGCGGTGGAGGTGTGAGGGTGTGTGTAGGCCGGTGGAGGGGTTACGTCGGCCGTTGGATGCAGATCCAACGGCTGAATCTACTTGACTAGAGTTTTCTCAATTTTCATTACTAGTCATATGCAATCCCCTTGTTAGAGTCCAGACCAAAATGGAGCTCTCCCGTGCGTTTGGATTTTCAGCCGTCGGATTAGCCTTCCAAACTGATCGGGGCCGTCGGATTTTTGCCCAGAGCGATCCTGGCCGTAGGATCTTCGTCTGCATCGATCCTGCCCGTCGGATCGAACAAAACACTGTTGTGTGGTGCCACCGCCTGTAAATCTCATGCCCCACCGAGGGTATTCTTGTCTTTTCGCATCACATGAGAGGGGGTCGATAGGGTGCCGACAGCGTCGTCCTCTCCTCATCTCCTCACTTCCCCCCGCTCCTCATTCCCCTAACCCTAGCCCATTCTCCACGTCGCCGCCGCCACCTCCCGTCCCCTGGCGCCGCCACCATGCCCACTCGCCGTCGCTCCTTCCCCTCCTCCCCGCCCTCTCGCTGCTCAGCAAGAGGAGCACGGCTCGCCGCTGGCCCTCACACACCGCCTCCCTCCTCCTCTCCTCCTCCGTGTCGGGGCCGGCTAGGGTTCGCACTCTCTCTCTCCCTCAGATCTCTCTCCCGCAGCCGCCACGCTCCCTCTCTCCGGCCTGAGCCTCCAACTCTACTATGTCCTGACCAGGATGATTTCATCAGAGAGTGGAGCGGGGAGCCGGAGAGCGAGCCTCTCCTTTCAGTGCCGCTGTTGCTGTCGCTGTCGAGGGTTCTCGCGCACGTGGCGGGGGTTCATTCTAATTTGGCCCTGCTCTGCTCTAGCGGTCGGGTTTAATTCGGCGGCGGCGGCGGCATCAGGTGGCGCTGAAGTAGGAGGTAGATTGTGGTGGCGTTCAGGGACTCGCTCAAGGTGCTCGAGGTTGACATCCAGCATGCGAACACCCTGTGAGTCCTCTCCCTCCTTCCCTCACTCCCTCAGTCCACCGCCCAAAATTAAATAATCCCCTTTCCTCAATTTCGTCCAGGTTTGGAGCGTGTATTGTTCACCATGTCGTGAATTCATCTCTGGCGGTCTGCCTCAGGCCGTCCGAGTGCTCGAGGGACTACGACAGGGCGTGCCTGCAGATGCGCATGTCCTACAGCCCCGCCATGCGCATCTTCCTCTTCCTCATGAAGTGGACCAACTGCAGCCTCGCCGGCACGATCGGCCTCCTCAGGATACTCTTGTCCATCTGTCAGTCTGTGTGCCCATGTCTGTGGTTTCGTTCCATAATTTGTGTCATACTAATTGCAGAGATATTGAGCCTCTGCTTCCGTTGTTTCTGCAGGTTTATGTGGACGGCACCACCACAATGTCCACCCATGAAAGGAAGGCCAGCATCAGGGAGATAAACGCTCTGTACATAACTGAAAACAATAGCAGATGTTCTCACTATGGTAAACGCTTTGTTCATCAATTCGTGTGCAGGTATGGACCGGTGATGTTTTTGACGCCCATTGGGCCATTACCTCATGGATGTGTATTTTGTGTGTGCCAGTTTGCCAGTTAGTGAGTGGTGGATAATATCCATATGCATATTTCATCAGTGTAGCATGTGATCAGCAATAGACAACTCTTGTGCGCTTATAAAATGATGATTCTATTGATTTTTTTGGGATTTTGCAATTCCTATGGAATTAAGAGCCCATGTATTGGCCTATCCCTGTTTATTATTTTTGGTGCACTTCCATTTCATAATTAAAGCAGTACACAATTATGTATGAATGTTTCAACAGAACTAGAATTAGTAAACAGCTGTCTGCAAAAGATATTAGCTGCTTCATTTTTGGCCTACCTTTTGGGCAATGCCATCTCCTCAGATCTGAGCCCAATTTTTTGAATATACATTCCATCCTTATTTTGGGACTGTTGTTCGCTGTGACTTTTTGGCAGTGTCGCTTCCATAGGTTTGAAGGCAAAATTTTAATACATGTAAGATATACATCCTTTTTTTGTTCTTTGAACTGTTGTTCGTGCCATAGGTTACTTTTAAGTTCGCTTTGCCCACCCACAGTTTTGGTTCATGGTGGACCTTGGAGTTGAGAAGCTACAATTTTATTGACGCTCAAGATTTTATAAATGGCATCTGCAGAACATCTGAAAGAATTTTGAAGTGTGTATTTTGTTTCAGTTTCATTCGCTCTTTCTTTATCTTCAGTTCTTCAGTCTATCTTAGAGGTAGAAGATTGTTGTCTAAGTCTGTCAATATTGCTCAATATCCCAACTTAATTCAACCATTGTTTGTATCTCTTTCCTGAACGCCATGAAGCAATTTATTTTCCGGAGCTGCTTTATTTATTCCATTACTTCTCTTCTGGATTTGGCCGGAGTCCTTTGCTTCAAGCTCTTGCCCCTGATGGAAAAAAGTTCATGCTTTTCATTTGCTTCATTTATATGTTACCTTGTGATTTTTGGTTTGACTCTTCTTGACCATTCACATTTGATGTTTAGATAATTATAATCTCTACTCCTGTAACCTTTCCAGTCCTTGTGTAGTCATTATTTCCCCCTCTTTTTTGTACGTATATTCATAATGTTCGTGCTTAGTTTCAGAAGTGAACACTAAGTTCTTCGTTCACTAGATTTTATTTAATGTTTCATGAACATGGTCCGGTTTTCACCTTAGGTTCAGTTACATGCACTGTTTTTCGATCTATGTCGCTCTATGGGATGCATTTTTTTCTAGTTCTCCTTTTTGTTCTTGTGCAATTTTTATATCTGGGATCATAACACTCACTCTTTTTCGTGTGTAATATGTGGTCATCCAGAAAATACCAAAGGATGACCGGTGGGACTACGGTTTGGCGAGCAGAGCTTTACTAGGACTGAGTATGACGAACAAGCATGGATGCAAGAAATTTCCCCTGAAAATAGGACTTGAGGTTGGTACGGATGTCCTACTTATACTCAAGGCAAACTTTGGCGATTATCTGTACATGATAGTTTGCCTCCATGACCATCGAGCGGTTCATAGGTCCTCATTGAGGTTATCTTCAGTTCATTAGTTTTCATCTCTGCTATGTTAGCTCTTTTGTGAGGGTCCAATTTGTTGACCGCCTTAGAAGAAACACACTTCCAACTATTTCTAAAGCTATTAGATCAAAAGATTAAGTAACTTATGTTGTTATGATGATAAAGAAGCTCTTGGGATATTAAAGTATGCCAAGAAACTATTGGCTCCTTTTATCATATAGCTTGTCTCTCCTATTTTCACAACTGGTCTAGCTTGCCTGATTGTTCCTCCATAATGTAGAGAAGTTTTTAATATGCCATTGTTAAAATATCTTATGTCCTTCCTGTTTTGTAGTGGCAAAGAAACAGGGGCAATTCCCCAATATTATGTGCTTATTTCTGCAGTACTTCATATGCAACAGTTCTACTAATGTTTAATGATTCTGGGCATTGCTGTGAGAGAAAGCATGTATCAAATTTTCTATTTCCCTGGTTTTCAATTCGTTTCATGCTTCCATCTCTTTAGCTCAGTACCATTACTATCTTGAAGATGAGTTTTTCTTATCCAATGGAAGATGGATTTAAGATAGAAATGTGCATTTAACCATTTATCGTGTTTCTTCCTTGAAATGTTATGCATAATACTTTTCTCTTGTTGTAAGACTTTTTTTTACTTCTTGCCAATTGGTTTGGTGTTTTGCAGTCATGCGTCATCTTTTGGTGTTTTGTTTGTTTGGTGATGTGGGTGAGTTGATTTCTACCTGATTTGTTCCTTGCCATCCTGATCTGTGTAGCGTTAAGCATTTGAATGGAGCACATATAGGCATGCCCCGGTTCATTTTAGGTGAGTGTGGATCTTACATTGTTCTGTTTTTAATAGATGTTTATTCACCTATTGTGATGGCATATCTGATTGTTTATATTGTTTGGCATGTATTCCGTGCACAGAGTCACTTGGTTGTTTGATGCGTTCGTGCTCGTCGGCGAGACGGTGCAAGGCGCAACTCCGACGCGGTTCCTCGCCGGTTGGATGGCATTCAGGCGCAACCCCGGCGCGCACTGAGTACTGCCTTGGCTATAACCTCCCTCGGTGAGCTCCATCTTCCCAGATTTGACCGAGCGAATTTGGGTTCTGCCTCTCCAGGATTAGAACTGTAGTTATTTCCTGTCATGTAATACTGTTTTCCATCATATTTATTTATTTAAATCTTGAATAGGGGAACTATAAGAATGCAAATCAATAAGAGTTGTTCATATTTTGCTAGCAAGTGCATGCTATTATTATTAGGTGGAGTACCGCTTGCTGAAATATGTCTTCGACATCTATTTTAATTTTTTGTTTCAAGGTAGGAGACTGATATGAACTGGCAATGTTTTAACAGAAATTCAGTTCATATGAAAGAAAAGAAAGGCATACAGTACCTGGCATTGACATTGGGAGCATGGGCTACTGCTCGCACCTCTACCTACAGGTTACAGGTTCCTTCCTTTCCTGCGAAGGAAGATTTTTGTTACTCATTCAGGTGTTGTCAAATGCTCCAGAATTTTATTAACTCATACGAGTGTTGTCAAATGCTCTAGATATTATATAGTCCGTTCTACAGGGTGTTGTTTGTGTGATTTAGTTGGAGAAAATAATCTCTACCTACAGTTACATTAACTGGTACCACCATTGCTGGGCATTGATTTCCAATAGAAATTCTCTCCTCGAATGTTTGTAAAAACAAGGGTGCAGTGAGGCTCAACTAAAGGAATGCCTGGAAAGTTGCATACTCTGTGAACCATGTATGTCCTGTGTTTATTCAATATTTGGTCCTATATTTTCAACTTTTTGTGTCTACTTGAGAAAAGGAGGAAAAACTACGGTTCAAAGCCTTTTATAAAATGCATGTCACTTTATTTTCTAAGATATAAAAATTACTTGAATTATCTGTAGCATACTTCTCTGTCATCCAATATAGGTCTCCCATGCGATCTAAATAAATATCAAGGATATGATTAGGCACACATGTCACTTTCTTTCTTAACCTGTATGAAGAGATAAGAAAACATGTATTAGCAAAATCGTTTAATATTGTTAGTCGAGCAGTACACATGTATGAACAAAAAAGGGACATGTATGAACAGAATCGTTCAATAGTTTTAGTCGAGCAGTATATAGAAAAACCGGCCCAAATGCATATGGAGTATTCAAGCTGAACAAGCCAATTGGATGGTAGAATATGCTATCAGGCTTAAAGTTTATATTGATTGAAGAGAAAATAGAGAAAAGAAAGGGCTGAAGCTAAATAGAAATATAGGATACTGCCATGCATGTGTTTAACTAAACAACAAGCATTCATTTGTGCACTTCCTCATCTAAAATAATCATATCATTTCTATTATCCTTTATCTCACATTCTCACCAGTGCACTGTGCCAGTCAGTGGTCCTGCTATCTAAACTTCATTGCTCTTATTTTGATTCATTTCTTTGCAACATTTTATTCCTATTGTAGCCTTCAATCAGTTTTAGCCTTGAATCATTCTGTATCTTTAGCCTTTAATCAGTTTGCATTTCCCCCTTATTTTGATACATTGCTCTACCACAGTTTATTCTGATTGTGTTACAGGTACTTTAATTGTAAGTGCATGCTTACAGAGTTCTATCATGCACAATCATGTATGCACACCGGTCTATCCAGAAGATTAGGTCGCGGCCCTCTCTGCCTGGGCCGCCAGCTCCCCGGAGGGCCGCATCCGGCCTGCCGCAAGTACACCTAAGTTGTCGCCTCCCCGGGGGCCGCAATTGGAAGTGGATGACCAAGGAGAAGGTGCACAGTGGGGGCCAGACGCTTAAGTGGGAGGCGGAGCTCGCCTCCCCCAATGACGACGGCTTCGATCTCAAGTGAAAGTGGGAGGCCAAGTCCAAGCCCGTCGCTGTCGGCAAGGCTAAAACCAAGTGGGGCACCGAGAAAGCCAGCAAGGATGAGATGAGGCCGGCGAGGAAGTGCATCCAGAGCAAGGAGATCCCCGCTGGCTGAGACGTCCAGATCGAAGTACTTAGCAGAAAAGATGAGATTTTTGTGGGGGTTTGGCCCCGATTTGAATGAAATGTAGGATTTTCAATAGTCCAGTAGCATACTCCAGTACTTCTTTTAACTATATCTGATTATAGATATTTCATATAGTATCATATACTGTTAAGAAACAATTTTGCTTTTTGCTTGACATTGATGTGGTGGTGTTTTGTCATATTTTTATACCATGTCTTCAGGATTTTCAGTTCTTTTGCCGTACATAACATGTCACAGCCCTTCAGGTTTTTGGTTTGTTCTTCTGCCATTCCATCTATGTGTGTGTATGTTCTTGAAAACCATTAGGATTTGCTTTTGGTATATCATGTGACATTTTCTATGACATGTTCAAAGTGATGTAATTAATTAACCAAACTATTACTCCTATTAGTGCTTAATTCCTCCTATACTTTCTTTGAGAAATTCTAATGATGGAAGCAATGGTCTATATTTCCTTCAATCTGTGGAATATATATTGTGTAACCAGTAGTGGACTGGGTGGGTGTTGCTATCGTGCTTTGCTATTCAGGTAACAGCCTGAATTGAATATGAATCGTGTTCTACCAAGTTGGATATAATGTCACTGCATTGTAAATAAGGTTATTATATGCTGCAATTCTTCATTGCTTTTGGTATGATGTCAATCTATCAAATTTGAAGCGTGACCTACTGTGTTGGATGGTTGCTGGGTTGGATATGACCGCACCCGGCAGGGGTGCAGGGTGCGGCAAGCCGGACTTTCTATCTAGTGGACATATTCATCTTGGATGATTTTCAGAAGTCCCTCAAAGAAAGAGGAATGATCTGTAGAAGGATAATCACCAAACTGTCAGATGATTTATAAAATGCCGACGTGTATCAAAAATGTTGATTACGAGGAAACTATTTTTTGCATTTCAGCGGAATATTTTCATTGTCCACGGGAAGCAAATCTTGTTGCGCATGTGTTAATTGGTCAAGTAGAATCTATTCAAGCCTTTGGTTCAAAGGAACGTAGCAAAGGAAAAATGGACGAAATAGTCCTTTCGTCTCGGTTTCAAAGAAAAAACATAGGAGTTTTACAATACAATTGAACCTATTTTTTTAGTTTCCTACGCACGAAGAACAAGACTTAGATCCTTATTGGCATGATAACGTGCTAATTATATCTTTTCATGTGGTTTGATTTTTATTTGATTTTTTATTAGAATTCCCATGTTTTTCCTATTTATGTGAACCAAACATTGAAGTTTGCAAAAACATTGTGTTTTCTAATCCTTTGCATTGCATGCATTCCTATCCAATTTCTATGTTTTGCTTTGGATGGCTTAATTAACAATATATTGCAGCTTAGCAGTTGACGATGCATGCAAGCATAAACATGATAAATTCTAACGACGATGCCCCAGGGTTATTGAACCATCTCTACAAACTCCATCACCCGCAAGGAACTAAACGGTTAGACAATACAAGTCACAAAGCAAACGCACCCGATACAAATCAGCAAGTTGGCACGAATGTGATATGACTCAACTTCAGGGTACTTCATAGCACCTTCCAAAAGCTCGGCACAGGACAACACAGGAACCGAGATATACATCCACCCGTTAACCAACCACCTCATTGTCAAGCCTACCAGTCCAACATGGAAATAAAGTGCATAACCACATGTCGTGTTTCGACTCCAGGAGCATGGCGAGATCTCGATTTCATCCTTCGCGTCTCACTACCTGAGACAACACCACATATTGAAGATAACTAATAACTTGTCCTTCTAGGTTTTGAGTCACAAGATCTGTCGCAATAGCTATCTCAGGTACGGTTGTGTTCAGTTTGATCGTAAGGTTTATTAGTTTGCATAGCATTTTTGTTATTATAGTAGTATTACAAAAAATGTTCTTTAATCCTTACGGGAAAGGGTGGTAGTAGTTTCCACTGGACTAATTGCATCACTAAAAAAAGACACCCCCATTACATTATGGCCCAAACAAAAATGTTTTCTGTCATGGAAGTGACACTTCCATGACGATAATTGTGACAAAAACATGTATTATCATATATGTGGTGAGCTCCTACTTCTATGACAAAAAATTATAACAGAAAATGGTTTTTTCGTCCAGGACAGACTGGAGTGCACCTTCCTGACATTCTTTGGGCCTCATGACGTAAAAAATTGTAGTAGAAGTGAGGGCGAGATTTTTTTTCGGGATTTCCCCGTATACGGTGGGTGGTCGGGCCCGAGGGATGCAATGGTGCTTTGAGTGTTTCTCTCGTATGCATGCGTGCGCGATCCCTTCGCTAACTGAACCTGAGCAAGTCTGTCGGTTACTAAACCCGATCGGTCGATCCCTCGCACTACGCTTAACCCGAGCGAACGATCCCTTGGACTACTAAACCCGACCGATCAAGCTCGTTGCTTACTGAACCCGAGCGATGGATTGCTACGTCTTGAGCTTGCGTTAGTTTTCCTTGAAGAGGAAAGGGTGATGCAGCAATAGTAGCGTAAGTATTTCCCTCAGTTTTTGAGAAACAAGGTATCAATCCAGTAGGAGGCTCCTCAAAAGTCCCACGCACCTACACAAACAAACAAAGAACTCGCAACCAACACAATAAAGGGGTTGTCAATCCCTTCACGGCCACTTGCGAAAGTGAGATCTGGTAGAGATAGTATGATAAGATAAATATATTTTTGGTATTTTATAATATAGATGCAAAAAGTAAAGATGCAAATAAAAGTAGATTGGAAGCAAATATGATAAGAGATAGACCCGGGGGCCATAGGTTTCACTGGAGGCTTCTCTCAAGATAGCATAAGTATTACGGTGGGTGAACAAATTACTGTCGAGCAATTGATAGAAAAGCGAATAATTATGAGATTATCTAGGCATGATCATGTATATAGGCATCATGTCCGCAACAAGTAAACCGACTCCTGCCTGCATCTACTACTATTACTCCACACATCGACCGACTCCTGCCTGCATCTAGAGTATTAAGTTCATAAGAACAGAGTAACGCCTTAAGCAAGATGACATGATATAGAGGGATAAACTCAAGCAATATGATATAAACCCCATCTTTTTATCCTCGATGGCAACAATACAATACGTGCCTTGCAACCCTTTCTGTCACTGGGTAAGGACACCGCAAGATTGAACCCAAAGCTAAGCACTTCTCCCATGGCAAGAAAGATCAATCTAGTAGGCCAAACCAAACTGATAATTCGAAGAGACTTGCAAAGATAACTCAATTATACATAAAAGAATTCAGAGGAGATTCAAATATTTCTCGTAGATAAACTTGATCATAAACCCACAATTCATCGGATCTCGACAAACACACCGCAAAAAGAGTTTACATCGAATAGATCTCCACAAGAGAGGGGAGAACATTGTATTAAGATCCAAAAAGAGAGAAGAAGCCATCTAGCTAATAACTATGGACCCGTAGGTCTGTGGTGAACTACTCACAACTCATCGGAGGGGCAAGGATGTTGATGTAGAGGCCCTCCGTGGTCGATTCCCCCTCCGGCAGAACGCCGGCGAAGGCTCCAAGATGGGATCTCGCGGATACAGAAGGTTACGGCGGTGGAAATTGTGTTTCGGTGGCTCCCTAGATGTTTTCGGGGTACGTAGGCTTATATAGGAGGAAGAAGTACGTCGGTGACCGCCCGAGGGGCCCATGAGACAAGGGGCGCGCCCTATGGGGGGGGGGCTCCTATCTCGTGGAGACCTCGGCTGCTTCTTGACTTGCACTCCAAGTCCTCTAGATCATGTTCGTTCCAAAAATCATGCTCCCGAAGGTTTCATTCCGTTTGGACTCCGTTTGATATTCCTTTTCTTCGAAATACTGGAATAGGCAAAAAACAGCAATACGGGTTGGGCCTCCGATTAGTAGGTTAGTCCAAAAAATGATATAAATGTGTAAAATAAAGCCCATAAACATCCAAAAGGGGTAATATAATAGCATGGAACAATCAAAAATTATAGATACATTGGAGACGTATCATGGATCCCTCGCACTATGTATTGAACCCAAGCGATCCCTCGCACTACTACTGAACGCAAGCGATCCCTTCGCTACTTACCGAACCCGATCGATGCGGGACTCGTGCCCATACATAGTTTGCATCGAGCCCCCACATCTGGTTACCTCTTGATGGACAGTCATGTTGCTGCCGAACGTGCGATACGTAGGTCAAGTCAAAACCAAAGTAAAGTAAAGCAAAGAAACAACACAACAAAAACTAACAACAAATTGGTAATTGATTACAACTACTCTACTGTACTCTGCTATGGGGTTTCCCTCCCCTTCCTCCCCGGACTGACTCGTCATCATCCTCATCGATCCATCGGTCCATTGATCAGGTGCCAGCAAAATCTAAGAAACTCCACGAACGACCATTGAACTCGATCTATGTAATTGTAGGAGGAAACACAACCAAAGAATTTGCTACTTTCAATGAATAAGATTTTGTTCCTGTCAGTGAATATGTATTTGCTTCTTTTAATTAGCGAATACTAAACAGTTGGCCGACAATTGGCAGGTCAATGATGACTTGTCTAAAACAGTCATCACTAACACACATTTTGTGTCTGATCAATGTTGATCACTGAAGCATGGCCAGTGGCCAGTCAATGATAATGAGTTAATAGTATATCAATCTGTAGTAGTGATTTCTTAGGTTTGGGAAGATTCTTCGCCAGTTTTTATTTTTTTGTCTATTCTATCATTTTTATGGGGTTCCGTTTTATATATTTTTTCATTTTTTATTTGTGATTTTTTCAAATTTTGCATTTTTTAAAAATTCGACATCATTAAAGCTGTTATATTTTTTCAAAATCATGAACATTTTA